AAACCTTACAATTTTGTGAAGAGGATAATATAATCAATTTCTGTTTCACAGGTGAAAACCTACAGGACTTGTAAGATTGGTACATTGCCTAAAGCTATCCACCTGGTAAGGGCAAGCCAGGGATAACTTACATTAGAACTAGAGTCCTCTCCCTGAACACCTCCCATACTATGAGCTGTCCCTTTCCTGGTTTGAAAGGTTGGGTCAAGCTAAGATTGTCTGTGACAAAGCATATATAGGGAAAGACTTTTTATTAACAATATTGATGGGAAGATGCCATTTTTGTGTGTTTCTCTGTGTAAGAAATGCCATGTGGAAAGCCGGTGTGCATGTCAGTATTTTTTTTTTTTTTTCTGAGAAAAAGCCTATAGAGTCTGGTGGGGGAAGGGTTTGCAGCTGGCAGGAGCTTTGGCATATGTTGTAACTAAAAAGAGAGGGAATGTGTTGGTGGGACAAGCTACCGGAGAGCTGTCTCGGTGTGCTGCGGTACTCGTAAGTGTTTTAATTGGGTAGGATTTTTGGAGGACTATTTTGACATCTGCTCGTGTCTTTGCTGATTTTTCTTCACTTAGAGTAGGAAACACAAGCTGTGGATGAAATGACTTTAAAATAATTGGAAGTAAAGATATCTCTCTCAAAGTTGAATTTGAGAGGGACACTTTAAGAAGTGGAAATTAAATTTCACTTCGAGGAATCCATCCTAAAGCATAAAACTTGATGCCTACACATTTCATGACAATATTATATTTAATAATTTCTTAAAACCTGAGAATACTCAATGAAAGGGGATTCGTTGAGTTTGTTTCCATGTAGTGGAACACTCTGTAGCAATTAGTAGTGATCTTTGCAAAGCTTTTAATGATGACATGGAGCATTGCTTATATTGTAATCAGTGAGAAAATCAAAAAGAAGCATTGAGCATGACTTTAACGGTGTTTTGAAGGAAATACACCCAGATGTCATCTCCAAACAGAGAGATTGTGGCAACATTAATTTTCCTTTTTGAACTTTTCTTTGTCTTTTCTCTACAGTAGGCATATATACTGTTTATGGTACAAAAAACAAGTATGGTTGTGTATAAGGGAAAGCAGGCTTTGAGGACATTGGCATGACTGCATGCACCACACATGAAAACATGGAATTGTGATGTCTTCACACTGTTCAAAAGCCAGCTCTGCTGCCACTCGCTAGCTGTGTGGCTTTGAGCAGTTTGTTAACCTCCCTGAGCCTCCATTTCCACATCTTTACCATGGCTACATTAGTATCTCCCTCTCATCTAGTTAAGATTAAATGAGATGGCACCCAGTAATTGTCCCACTCCCTTCGTCACCAGCACTTCCAACCCTGCAGCCCAAGTGTGAGTTTTTCTTGCTTTTCTTCGTTCTCCTTGTTTCCTTCAGCCTTTCATGGATAGGGCACCATCCAGCCAAGCCAGCTTCCAGTTCTTTCCTTGGGAACATTGAGCTTCAAGAAGGCCCTTGAGCCTGTGCCAGCCCCTTTGGAAAAGGCCTTGCCACCAGGAGGGAAGCATTTTCCTACAAGAGGAAACTGTGCCGACCCAGCTCCTTCCTGGAGCCTGGTGTTAGGGGCATTTTGGTTACTAAGGGGACCCTGGCCTGCTAAATCAGGAGAAAGGGCCAGGTTTTTTCCTCTTCTTCAGCCTGCTGCCATTGTTGAAAAAGTAAACACTCCACACAGCTTAACCAGCAAGTCCTCCAGCCAAGGAGTGGTAAGAAATCAAAAGCCTGTTCGAACCCAGCCATGGAGAGACCACAAGGCCTGGTCTGTGTGCTGGGGACGCAGAAACAAGGCCTAATTCCGGTCCAGAATCAACATCCACTCATGGGGCCTTTCAGCCCTGAGGCTTCTCTCCAGTGGTCATGGCCTCCTGCCCTGTTCTGTTTGGAAGGTCAAGTGAGGCAAAGTAGATAATGCTGGGGCTGGGGTGCAGCAGCCCTTATCTCCATCCTGGAGTCTGACTTTGATTCTGCTTCCTGGGATTGTCCTCAGCATTCGAAGTGAGAGCCACCTAGTTACCACCAAGGGACCAGCAAGATTTCTGCTCCTAGGCACTGCCACCGAGCTTCTTTTAACTGGCTGTAGCTATTGTGTGTGTTAAAAGTAATAATAGCTCCCATTTATTAACTTCTCTAATCTTCCTGGCAGGCTGAGGGAAGTGGGTGAAAGAGAGTGGTCACACCATTACAATTTCACAGGTAAAGAAGCCAATTAGTAGACACACAGCCTTGGACAAACTGCTTCACTGCTTGGAACCTCAGTTTCTCATCTCTGATTTGAGAATGATGATACCTCACTTCCAGCTCCACTGGTGGAAATTTAAAAGTCTGTATAGCTATACTTTGCGAGCTCTGAAATGAGGCACACATGGTTGTCGATGCTGTTCATGATATTTATTCAGAGTCCAGGTACACTGCAAAGAATTTACCTGCTGAGTTGTAGAGTGAAGCAGCTAAGGAGATGGGAGGATTCCCTACTATTCTTAAAGTTCTCTTCTGTAAAATGAGGATTATGCTTTCTAAGACAAAAATACTGTACAATGCTTGGTGTTTATTACCAACTCCTTCATCTCTGCTGATAGCCATTTACCCTATAAATAAGGCAGCAGTTACTATCAGTGTTGGGGTTTGAGGGGAAAAGGAATTTGTCAGGCAGCAATCAGATCTTCCCTCTGGTTCTCAGCTCATGGTGAGTTCTTAATGTTTTGAGTTGATGGATAGGTTTCAGACTGGCCCCAGTGCCTGCAGTCAGCAGCAGAAGCAGTTTGAATATCTGGTCCTCAGTGGAAGAGTTCCAGAATTCTGCTGAGAGAGGTTTTCAACTCTAGGAGGCTTGTGACCAACATGATTCTACCCTCTTGCTGGGTAGAATCTCGACTTGTTAATTTAATACCAAGTTCTAGAAACTGAATTTGAATATCAACCAGTATCAGCGAACACTTGCCAAGTACTGATCATTTTGTCAGGCACTGGTTTTTTATTTTTTGAGATAGGGTCTTGCTATGTACAGTGGACCCTTGACTTAGGAATTCAGTTCATTTGAAAGGACTGGTTGTGACTCAAGTTAGTCAGTTAAAGGCTCAGATTCCTCTACACAGCCTTCACAGTCTGTCTTTGCACACAGGCAGATCCATGTCCTTAGAGAGACATTGGCCCAGGAGTTCTCGTTTAACCCTACATAGGAAAGGATGTTGTGATGTTCCTTCCACAACTCTTTAAGGGTTAGATCTGTATCTGAGACCATCTGGAAGCACAAACAGCCAGTATTCCGTTCATAACTCAGGACTTTGGTCAAAGTTAAAACTAAAATTCCATTCATAACCCAGGTTTTTCATATGTCAGACCTATTAAAACTCAAGGGTTCACTTTAGTTCATGCTGGCCTTAAACTCACTATATAATCCATCCAGGCTGGTCTCAAATTCATAGTGATTCTCCCGCCTCAGCCTCCCAAGTGCTGGGATTGTAGGCGTGCACCACCACACCCAGAGAGACACTGGTTATTATGCAGTGGTGAACTAGACAGATGAGCCCTAGAAGGGACCCATACCCCTTGCAGAGGCCACACAGGCAAAAGGGTGCAGGGACTAGACAAAAAATGCTGTGGTCAGTCTCACTGACAGTGTCTGATGATAAATGGTACCACTCACAGAGTGAAGGTTTGATAAGAATTAAATGAGATAAAATAAGTAAGGCACAGTGCAGACATTTATAGGCTGCCAATATATTGTAATTGTCCATTCCCAGGACAGCCTTCTGGTGTCTGCTCCATTATTGGCCCATACGACATTCTTGGGTGCTACTAGGTAAATGCCTCTCCTACCCCACCTCAGCTGATGCTACCTAGAAGGCACGTGGGTTGGCAAATTTCAGCCCAGACTTGCTGGACAGCGTCTTTGGGCAGAAGCACAAGCTGCACATCACAGGTAGCGTGTTCAGAGGGTAACTAATGATGAAATTAGTCCCTTCTGTATAGGGCAACCATATGTCCATGTTATGCTTATTGTCTTGGTGTGATATGCCTTCTTCCACTACCACAAGTTTTCCAGTTTGGACAACAGATGACAGGATCTTTCCACTTAGAAAGGGCAAAATTAGCCAGAGACCACAATTCTAAGATGAAATACCTGCAAGGAACAAGTTGATATATGATGGGGGAAAGAAAAGGATTGAATGGGATCAGGGGAGGTGAGAAGGCAGGATAAAAATGAACGTGGACTCTGACAGTGGATAAACAATGGGATTGAACATTAAAAACTCAAATTATACACTGTCTTATGATACAGACTTTGGAAAGCTGCTGCCAAATAGGGGACCCCATAGTATCCCTTCATTTCCCCTCTCCACCACACACAAATACCTCAAAGACATAAGTCTACCTCATCCTTTTTGTTACTGTACCAACAGAAAAGTGGCTCATGGACAGAGCCATTAGCCGGATTTCTACGGAAGATGGAACAAGACTGAAAGTGTGACCTTCCCAATGTTCAAGGAAATGTTAACACATTTGCACTAGTCCATACTCCCATATTCCATACCCCAGAATGATGAGATCCAAAAGGGAGATTGGCATGTAGCCTTTGGAAAATGAGAGGAGTAGGTTGAGCATGTCATAGGAGCCTCCTGTATGTCAGAATTCCTGGGGAAGAGGAAAGAAAAGAAAGACAGGAAAAAGACATTGATGGGTATAAGATCTCTCTTACTTCCTAGCTGTGTGGCTGGGGACCTGTTGTTACTTAGGCCCTGTGAAATGCACTTGCACTCTTGGAACTTGAGAGGTGATCATGCAAGCTTAAAGAGTTTTTGTGGGAGTTAAATGAGTGGCAGATTTGAACCACCTAGCATTGAGACTGCCATAAAATAAGGCTTTGTCAAATATCACTTTGTTCCCTATTTCCTCTCTCTTGAGAAAGGCAAAGGGACATACCTTTGTGTCTTAATGATGTTTCAAGGACTTTCTCTTCTGGACTTTGTTGACTTGCAGAAAGTCAGAAACATGGCCCTGGATGATGTTGTGATCCTGAACGTGGATACCAACACCCTGGAAACTCCTTTTGATGACCTCCAGAGTCTCCCAAATGATGTGGTAAGTATGGAGCACTTGAGGCTCTGACTCCTGCATGCGTACACCATGAAAACAAGCATGACTTTGCGGGTGGAAGAAGAGGGGAGACAACTGTGGTTTTCTTGTGGCCTAAGATCTGTGGTTTGTTTCAGTGTTAGAGAGTCTCAGTGTAGAAAGTTAGGAGGTAGTCTGTTTTTCAAGTCTTGTTTTTCTCTGGTAACTTTAATCTGGAAAAGTGACCCCAGAGTTTAGGGAGCCTGAGGGCTTCAGTCACCACCCCTTCCCAGCTCGTTCTCTCCAGAGAATGGGCAGCATCCCGAGTGACACCCAGAGGCAGGGGAGAGGATTTTCAGGGTGAATACTGTGGAGTACTTCAAACTAACATTTGTCCCTGGACCATTGTGGAGCCTGGTGATTTTCCCCTACAGCAGGTATCTGCTGCCAGTGCCCTGAATGTGGCTGCATGTCCCCTGACTCTCTTTGTTAATTATCTCAGATTTAGACAGAATGTAGATTCTTTTGAGCCTAAAGTAACTGGGTGTTCTTGGTGTCTCTGGTTTGCCCTCAGTGGATCTGTGGTGAGAAGATCCATAAAGTTCTTCTGGCTTTCAAATTATGAGGAGCCCATGTGTTTGTTCGCCATGTATGCTAATATGGGACCTGGGTGGGGTCTGGCAGGGAAAATATTAGATCTGGTGGACAGCAGTGCTCTTTTACTGCCAGGAATGAGCCCCAGTAGCACTGTGCTATTATGAAGAGTTTGCTGTTTGTTGATAAATGGCTTGCAACAAGATCTTCATCTTCTCCTTTTACCTCACTGTGAGATTAGAGCAAGTTATTTGGGTGCTACTGATGCAGGAAACAGTGAGGACCCCAGCACAGATAACTCTTTAACAGGAAGACAGGAGCAAAAGCAGCTTTAAATGAGACTGATGGCTCAATGAGTGACTCCTGTTAGCTTCAAGAGCCCCAAATAAAACTTTATACTGCTTTATATACCTCTTTTTACATCTACGAAGCTTAATTCCATTGGAGTTTTCCTGGAAATATAGCAAGCAGGATTTACACAAAGCAGAGCAGTGGAGAAGGGAAGAGCAAAGAGTTCTGGCAGGACTTTTTGAGTCCATCATGCTCCTTTGTTGATAGATTACAAAAGTTGTCACGGCTGTTCAGGTACATTCTACAAAGAGCATAGTTACCTAGTTAACCATAGTTGCCTATTAACACAGTTAACTCATGGTTGTCTAACTCCACATGGAGGAGTGCTCTCCTCTCTCACTATAAAAATGTTTCCTTTTAAATATCATTAAGCAGTTACTACCATCATTGACTATTTAATCACTTTGCTGTCACTGAGACACAATACCTAACACCTGAGAGTTATTTTGGCTCATGTTGGCTGGCTCCAAGGCAGAAATGACATAGTGGAAGGGCCTGAGTGGAGAAAAGCTGCCATATCATGGTAGCCAGGAATCAGAGGGAGGACCCAGGGACGGAGGTGTACCCTCCAGGTCATGTGCCTTGTGATCCACCTCTTCTGACCAGATCCCACCTCCTCACAGCACATTCAGCTCTGCATTCTTCAGTGGATTAATTCACTGATGACTATAGTGCCCCCAGGATCTGATCTAATCACCTTCCCAAAGCCCAGCCTCTGAACACATTAGGCTTTTGGGCGACATTCCAGATCTAAAGCATTACATAGACTTTTGAGCATTAGGCACAGAGCCAAATCCCTGTCCTTGACCTCTCATTTACTCCTCATGCCACTCTTGGGTCTTCCTCATTCCCATGGTACCCATGGAGAGAAGTGGAGACAACTCTTAGCTATATGGAGCCCCTGCCTCACACCTGCCAGGTGCCTCCTGCACCCAGCGTCTCCCTTGACAAGCATAATTGCCTTATGAAGTTTTAATAGGGAGAAAGGGACTCAGAAATTACATACTTTGCCACAAAACAGTGATGACATTAGAATCCAGTCTGTATGGCACCAGAGTCTGTGCTTCCTCTACCCTCTGCACTTTGCCTCTCTTTAAGCATGAGACAACAGAGAACATAGGAAAAAAATAAGACTGCTGTGCAGCGATGAGGGCAGTGAATCAAATCCAGGTACATGTTCAGCATCTCAGGGCCTGTAGGCCACAGTTTGTTAGGTTTCCTCCCCTGTTGCCTTTCTGTGGACAAATTCCTCTGGAAGCCATCAGTATCTCCGGTGGGGACTTTGCAACTGCACATGAATGTGGACATGAACCTGAAGTCCAAAGAATGGCTGGTGGCCCTGAGACAGCCCAAGTGATGGCAGCTCAGAAGCGAGCGTGGAGTGCAGTGCTCTGACTCTGCTCGTACTGAGCAGTGAAGAAGAGGCAGATCTTCATAGAGGACAATCCAATAGGGAAAACAGACAGGGGTATCACACATAAGCTCACAGCAAAGCATCCTAGGGATTACAAAGGAATAGAAATCATGCACAGGAGGGCCAGGAGAGAGAGTAACAAAGTTTGGAGACAGAAAGTGGTGACTTCCCAAAGATGGTAGAATCCAAGATGCCTTCTAGATAAGAGACATTTATGGGAAAACAGTAACATGGACCAGTTATTTTTCCTCTCAGAGCCTTGGATTCTCACTTTAAAAGAAGAGTGCTCAGCGGTTTGGTGGCCTGCCTAACAGAGGAGTGCTAGGACTGCTCTTAAGATTATTGTGACAGATAATAATAGTGATGTCCATCCAGTGCTTGGCACAATGCTCAAGTGTTATCAGTGTTCAATAAAGATTCCTGCCTTTGTGCTTGTTTTTCACAAAATTGTTATTAATAATGACAGACAAGGTCAGGGAACCAACCATTAATACCCTCCATGTCCTGAGAGCCTCAGCCTGGGCAAATGGGACTGCCTACACACACACACACTGGCTTGTAAGAGTGTTGAAAACATTCTACAGCAGTGATTTCTATGTATGGCCCTTGCCTCAACCATGGTAATGGGGAGGGAATGTGATCCTAAAGTACTACTGTATTCCAGTAAATTCAGAGAATTTATTCTGTAATGCTGCGTGTTACAGGTTCTCAAGAGGAAAAATCCTGTCCTGCTCATCTTTGTGTCCCCTGCATTTGTCAAAGGACCTAGCACCCTGAGTGTATCAGCTAGTCCACAGTTGACCTTAAAATCTCTTCTTTTACCAGAGCTGCTGAAAGATTCTACTTCTTAAACATTTTGCTAGCCCACATCCTCTTCTCCATCCCTCCTAAGTGCCACCTACTCCAAAACTTTATTTCCTTCCTGCACTCTTTCCAGAAGCCTCCAAACTGGTTCATCTGACCCAGCCTCTTCCCTCCATATACCAGAGTGACCTTTAAAAAAAGCAATAAACTGCGTTTCTTTCCTGCTTAAACTGCTCCATTAGTGAATCTAAAAAAATCCTCTAAAGACAAAAAATACTTCTGTAACTCTCTGTTGTCTATAGATTCAAAGCAAGTTTATTTTGTTAGCTTTGGAATCACAACAGACAAATTCTGTCTTTTTACTTACTGTCACATGATTTGGGACAAAATTACATGAGCTCTCTGAGCCTAGATTTCTTCATGAGGTATTGACACTTTTGGTCAGAAATTTATAAGTGAAAACCTAATGGAATGATCAGAAGACTTGAGCTACAGGAAATATCAGAAGTTCTTCAGGTAGATTAAAAAGAAACATAAAGAAACGTAGATGATAAGGGTATGAAGAGAAACAAGTAGTAAATGCATAGCTAAATGTAAGAATTTATTTTTTCATTTTTCATTATTTCATTTTTCAGTGTAATGCCTATAACATGTTTTAAACATATATCCTATGAGTACTGTAGATAGCAGGTGATGATGAGGTGTGAATGTGAATAGTGATGAACATGGCAAATTCCCCCTTCTTGACATGATCCCCTCCTGGGGTTTTGTTTGATTATTTTTCGTAATGTTAGCTCTCTCCCCTCCCTGCTTCTAACTCAATATTGTAAGTATTTGGAACTGGTAGTAGTTTTTCCAAACTTACGCACTGTATCCTAACTTCATATTTTGCATACTGAGATTGCCCCAATGTCCTACCCCATATGGTAATCTCATTCCTCAAGACCTCCTTTAAACATTGTGCTATAAAAACCTTCCCTTAACCTCTCCAAGTAGATTTGACCATATCTTTCTCTTTGAATCATTTATTGCCCATTTCTGGCTTTCCTACTTGTGAGTTCTTGAGGGTAGGAACCATTTATTTATCTTTGTTTCCCAATGATCTAGCAACCACTGAATAGATAGATGGAAGGACAGGAGACACTTATGGGTTAGGTTACCCCAGTAGATGAAATCTTGTAAAACATGGTATTGTCCATGCTACAAATTTTATTAAAAGAAGCTTTCGTTTTATTTCTAGCTGTGTTTTAATAATTGGAACTAGATTAGCCTTCCCCCCATTAACTATTCAAACTCTGGTCAAATATGAAAACAGCTGTTTTCACAGATTCGATAGCAAGCAATCCAGGGGTATAATTTCTTGATGAGAGGAAACAGTCAAGATGAGACCTACTATCCTGTTGGCTCTCTGCCTTGAGGTGTTTTCCAGACACTGGTACCAGAAGAGGCTCTCCAGCAAACAAAGCAATAATCTTGCTGAGTTGAAAGGTTGGAAATCTGAGTATGAGAGAGAAATGGTTTGTTTATAGATGAGAAAACCAGATCAGAGTACTGGGCAAAAGAGCTCCAGAAATCTGACCTGGTCAGCCTGCTGAAGACTGTTCTGCCAATGTGAGGATCAGACACCTGATAAGATGATCAGTTCCCAAAGCTCATACCGACCTAGGAATCACTCAGATTCTGACCAGCCAGAGTAGAGACCCTGGTTGATCGCTGAGAACAATCACTGAAGACTCCAAGAGGTCATGACTTGATAGTAGGTATAAGTTAGCTGTAAAGGTTATCTCTGCCCTAACAAAGCATAAAATCAAGCCTTGAGAAGCAGAAGAGAGTTCTTTAGGGATGCCAGAAATGTGCTGGATTT